TCTGCGTTTGAGATAGATTAGGAATCAGATGGTTCTCCCTGTCATAGGCAGTAACAGCACCTAAAGCTTCGGGGAGCCTTTGTTCAACCATCTCAAAGCTCTCTGCTTGAGCGTTGATGGCACTGTCGTCAGCATAGATGAAACTCTCTGTCCCTTCTGGCAGTGGCTGGTCATTTGTGTCAATGTTAGACATGAGGAACTATATTAAGAGGCATTAGGAAGGTTGAGAAACATTGACCTAAAGCTTCAGAGAGCTTCTGTTCAACCATTATAAAGCTCTCTGCTTGAGTGATGATGGCACTGTCGTCAGCATAGATGAAACTCCCTGTCCCTTCTGGCAGTGGCTGGTCATTTGTGTCAATGTTAGACATGAGGAACCGGATTAAGAGGCATTAGGAAGGTTGAGAAACATTGACCTAAAGCTTCAGAGAGCTTCTGTTCAACCATTATAAAGCTCTCTGCTTGAGTGGTGATGGCACTGTCGTCAGCATAGATGAAACTCTCTGTCCCTTCTGGCAGTGGCTGGTCATTTGTGTCAATGTTAGACATGAGGAACCGGATTAAGAGGCATTGGGAAGGTTGAGAAACACTGACCTAAAGCTTCGGAGAGCTTCTGTTCAACCATCTCAAAGCTCTCTGCTTGAGCGTTGATGGCGCTGTCGTCAGCATAGATGAAACTCTCTGTCCCTTCTGGCAGTGGCTGGTCATTTGTGTCAATGTTAAACATGAGGAACTATATTAAGAGGCATTAGGAAGGTTGAGAAACATTGACCTAAAGCTTCAGAGAGCTTCTGTTCAACCATTATAAAGCTCTCTGCTTGAGTGGTGATGGCACTGTCGTCAGCATAGATGAAACTCCCTGTCCCTTCTGGCTGCGGCTGGTCATTTGTGTAAACATTAAACATTGATGGAGCTGGGGCTCATCCCTCAGTCCTATGGACACCTGAATGTTCAGAAAGTTTCTATCCAACCATCTCAAAGCTCCCTGCTTGGGCGGTGATGGCACGATCGTCAGCATAGATGAAACTCTGTCCTTGTGGCAGTGGCTGGTCATTTGTGTCGATGTTGACCATGGATGGAGCAAGCACACTCCCCTGAGGCAGGCCGTTCTTCCGTTTCCACCATCTGCTTTTCTGGCCGTGGAACTCAACAAAAAAGCTCCTGTTTTGTAGCAGTTTTCCTATGCTGACGATCGTGCCATCACCACCCAAGCAGGGTGAGTTAGTAGTTCTTTATGATATTATACATTTTTTCTCAGGAGAAGGTGATGATTTACGATGAAAATCAGGGTGAAGAAGCCCCCTGACCACCCAAAATGTGGGGATTTTTAAAAAGACGCTATGTTGTAATGGGTTGACTGGAAAGACAATGGTCAGCAGCTGATTGGCTGAGCACCCTAGGAGCCAGAGTTCTGATGGGCCACTGTCTCTAGCTTGCTGCTGAGACAAACGGTTTTAACAGCCACTTTCACTTTGGAGAGTGAAGAGAGTGCTGACTGGAAACAGCCAGGATTTTAACTGCCATTTTCACTTTGGAGAGTGAAGAGAGTGCTGACTGGAAACAGCCAGGATTTTAACTGCCACTTACACTTCAGAGAGAGAAGAGAGTGCTGACTGGAAACAGCCAGGATTTAAACTGCCACTTTCACTTTGGAGAGTGAAGAGAGCGCTGACTGGAAACAACCAGGAAGGAAATGGCTGCCAGCTCTCTGAAGTCTGATAATTTCTAAGGCATGGAGCATATTTTAAAGACTGTTTAAAAGGATTGTTTATTCCCCTGTGTTTTCTGTAAGAATTCAGAGAGACTGTTGTATATATTGTTTGACCTGTTGAGCTGAAGTAAAGTTACTCATTACTCGTTACACAAATCTGAGTGACACGTTATGATACTGCAGGGTATATTTTGGTTCAGAAAACAGTGGTAAAGCTTCTGTTTATTGACATCTACAACTTCTGATCTATGAATTGCGGTGGGGCTCCCATGCCCGACCAGTGTGAGGCATAGTTCCTCCGAGCATGTGCAGAGTGCCTTTTTGTCGTGCAGGCAAGGGGGCTCTTCCTCGCCCTCCTCCTCGGCGGTGTGTGCCTTCAGCCTATCCTCCATCCAGCGTGCCTTTGAGGGCAAGTACAAGGAGCTGAACAAGGACTGCTCCCGGTGGGTGACCTACAGTGGGCCCCCCATGGAGCCACGGCCCGGAAGCGTGAGTCATCGGGGGACACGGGGGGGACACACGGGGTCACGGGGAGCAGTCCGGTCACTCTCTTATTCTCCCCCCCGTCCTCCGCAGTGTGGTGTGGGCCCCTCCTCGGACAAGGCCTTGACCTTCATGAAGGACCGGGGGGGCACACGGGGTCACGGGGAGCGGTCCGGTCACTCTCTTATTCTCCCCGCAGTGTGGTGTGGGCCCCTCCTCGGACAAGGCCTTGACCTTCATGAAGGACCGGGGGGGCACACGGGGTCACGGGGAGCGGTCCGGTCACTCTCTTATTCTCCCCGCAGTGTGGTGTGGGCCCCTCCTCGGACAAGGCCTTGACCTTCATGAAGGACCGGGGGGGCACACGGGGTCACGGGGAGCAGTCCGGTCACTCTCTTATTCTCCCCCCGTCCTCCGCAGTGTGGTGTGGGCCCCTCCTCGGACAAGGACTGGGGGGGCACACGGGGTCACGGGGAGCGGTCCAGTCACTCTCTTATTCTCCCCCCCTCCTCCGCAGTGAGGTGTGGGCCCCTCCTCGGACAAGGCCTTGACCTTCATGAAGGACCGGGGGGGCACACGGGGTCACGGGGAGCGGTCCGGTCACTCTCTTATTCTCCCCCCCCCCGCAGTGTGGTGTGGGCCCCTCCTCGGACAAGGCCTTGACCTTCATGAAGGACCGGGGGGGCACACGGGGTCACGGGGAGCGGTCCGGTCACTCTCTTATTCTCCCCCCCCTCCTCCGCAGTGAGGTGTGGGCCCCTCCTCGGACAAGGCCTTGACCTTCATGAAGGACCGGGGGGGCACACGGGGTCACGGGGAGCAGTCCGGTCACTCTCTTATTCTCCCCCCCCCCGCAGTGTGGTGTGGGCCCCTCCTCGGACAAGGACTGGGGGGGCACACGGGGTCACGGGGAGCGGTCCAGTCACTCTCTTATTCTCCCCCCCTCCTCCGCGGTGTGGTGTGGGCCCCTCCTCGGACAAGGCCTTGACCTTCATGAAGGACCGGGGGGGCACACGGGGTCACGGGGAGCGGTCCGGTCACTCTCTTATTCTCCCCCCCCCACACAGTGTGGTGTGGGCCCCTCCTCAGACAAGGCCTTGACCTTCATGAAGGACCACTTCCTGATGGAGGAGCGCGTGGCCCCGGTCCTCGGGCGGCCCCTCCTGGTGGCACAGGGGCCCCCCTACTCGCGCCTCGCCCTCCACACCACTCGCCTCGCCAACGGGAAGGCAATCACCGTCCTCTTCCTGGGAACAGGTGGGCCCTCTTCCTCCTCCTTCGTCTTCATCACCATCTTAATAATGTTGTTTATTAATATTAATATTAATCTTTATAATTTATTATAATAATGCAGTTATTATTATTATTAATAATAATAATGCTAAATAATCACATTCTAAATAATAATGTTCTCAATCATAACGTTGTTGCTATTTATTAATAATAGTATTTACTTTTATGATTTATTATTATAATGTAGTTATTAATAATAATAAATAACAGTTATGTATTATTATTAATAATAATGCTAAATAATAATGTTTAAATTCTAAATGATAATGTTCTGAAAAATAATGTATTCATTATTTATGACCATTAATAATATTTGTTTTAATGATTTATTATTGTAATGGCAAATATTTATTAATAATAGATTTTTGTTATTTATTTATTATTATTAATAATAATAATAATGTTCTAAATGATGCATTCTGCATTTTCAGAGGGAGGCTTCCTGCACAAGGCGGTCTCCCTGGAAGGTGGCCAGGCCCACATCGTGGAGGAGGTCCAGCTCTTTGAGCGGCCCGAGCCCGTGCGCAACCTCCTCCTCGACCCCAAAAAGGTGAGCCACTGGCCCTTGGCCCTGGGCTTAAGGAGCAGGAGCGCTTCCTCTTCCTCACCCCCTCTTCCTCACCCCCCACTTCCTCATCCCCCTCTTCCTCTTCCTCATCCCCCACTTCCTCATCCCCCACTTCCTCTTCCTCATCCCCCACTTCCTCATCCTCCACTTCCTCTTCCTCATCTTCCTCTTCCTCCTCTTCCTCATCCTCCACTTCCTCTTCCTCCACTTCCTCTTCCTCTTTCTCAAACCCCACTTCATCTTCTTCCTCTTCCTCTTCCTCATCCCCTACCCTCTTCCTCCTCCTTACCCTCCACTTCCTCATGCTCCACTTCCTCTTCCTCCACTTCCTCTTCTTTTTCCTCCACTTCCTCTTCCTCAAACCCCACTTCATCTTCTTCATCTTCCTCTTCCTCATCCCCCACCCGCTTCCTCCATTTCCTCTTCCTTACCCTCCACTTCCTCATCCTCCACTTCCTTTTCCTCATCCTCTACTTCCTCTTCCTCTCTCTCATCCCCCACTTTGTCTTCTTCATCTTCCTCTTCCTCATCCCCCACTTCCTCTTCCTCATCTTCCTCATCCCCCTCTTTCTCTTCCTAACCCTCCACTTCCTCTTCCTCATTCTCTACTTCCTCTTCCTCTTCCTCTCTCATCCCCCACTTCCTCATCCTCATCTTCCTCATCCTCCACTTCCTCTTCCTCATCCTCCACTTCCTCTTCCTCCACTTCCTCTTCCTCATCCCCCACTTCCTCATCCTCATCTTCCTCATCCCCCTCTTTCTCTTCCTAACCCTCCACTTCCTCTTCCTCATTCTCTACTTCCTCTTCCTCTCTCATCCCCCACTTCCTCATCCTCATCTTCCTCATCCTCCACTTCCTCTTCCTCATCCTCCACTTCCTCTTCCTCCACTTCCTCATCCCCCACTTCCTCATCCTCATCTTCCTCATCCCCCTCTTTCTCTTCCTAACCCTCCACTTCCTCTTCCTCTTCCTCATTCTCTACTTCCTCTTCCTCTCTCATCCCCCACTTCCTCATCCTCATCTTCCTCATCCTCCACTTCCTCTTCCTCATCCTCCACTTCCTCTTCCTCCACTTCCTCTTCTTCATCCCCCACTTCCTCATCCTCATCTTCCTCATCCCCCTCTTTCTCTTCCTAACCCTCCACTTCCTCTTCCTCTTCCTCATTCTCTACTTCCTCTTCCTCTCTCATCCCCCACTTCCCCATCCTCATCTTCCTCATCCTCCACTACCTTTTCCTCTTCCCCATCCTCCACTTCCTCTTCCTGACCCTCCACTTCCTCTTCCTCTTTTGCAGGGGAGGCTCTTTGTGGGCCACTCGGAGGGGGTGCTGGAGGTCCCCCTGGCCAACTGCAGCCAGCACCTCTCCTGCGCCCAGTGCGTCCTGGCCCGGGACCCCTTCTGCGCCTGGGACGGGACCCAATGCAGGGACATCACGCGGGAAGGAGAAGGGGGCCACCACCAAGGAGGAGGGGAACCACCCCAAAACAGGTCAGCCCCAGGCAGCAAGACACATCCTAAGAGTAACAACAACAATAACAACCATAATACATAGTATTATAATATTCTAATATTAATAATAGATACATAGTCACTTATAATATTAATAATGATATGTATATAATATAATATAATAATAATCATTACATATATAATATAATAATACATTCTAATATTAATAATGATATGTATATAATAATAATTAATACATATATCATATTATAATATAATAATACATTCTAATATTAATAATAGATACATAGTCACTTATAATATTAATAGTAATATGTATATAATAATAATTAATACATATATAATATAATAATATAACAATACATTCTAATATTAATAATAGATACATAGTCACTTATAATATTAATAATGATATATATAATATAATAATAATAATTAATACATGTATAATATAATACATTCTAATATTAATGATCGATACATAGTCACTTATAATATTAATAGTAATATGTATATAATATAATAATAATACATATATAATATAATAATGTAATAATACATTCTAATATTAATGATAGATACATTGAGTGTATTATTATTATTATTATTATTGTGTATTATTATCTATTATTATTATTATTATTATTATTATTATTATTATTATTATTATTTGAGTCCCCTTTGGGGAGTTAAAGCGGAATATAAATGATGATGATGATGATGATGATGATGATGATGATGATGATAGCAACCATGGAGCAGAACACACCCGACTGAAACGAGTCCGTATTTCCTTGCAGGACGCAGTGGGCGCAGGACGTGGAGGGGGGCCACCCGGAGCCCCTCTGCCCCCCCAGCACAGCCGCCAAGGGCCGGTCGGGGCCCCGGACCAGCCACCCTATGGGCCTCCCTGTGACAGGTACGCTGGCCCTCTGCCGGGAGGGATCAATCAGGACCCTGTGAGATGTTCCTCCCTTTGTGCAGAGCTGTCTGAGTCTTTGCATTCCTTGCTCTGGTAGCAGAGGGTGATAATAATTGTGATTATGAAGATAATAATAATAATAATAATAATAATAATAATAATAATAATAATGACGCTGCCTTGTGTTCCTCCCTTTGTGCAGAGCTGTGCACGTTTTTGCATTCATTGCTCTGGTAGCAGAGGGTGATAATAATAATTGTGATGATGATATTAATTGTTATTATTATTATTATTATTATTATTATTATTATTATTATGTAATGATAATGACTCTGCCTTGTGTTCCTCCCTTTGTGCAGAGCTGTGTGAGTTTTTGCATTCCTTGCTCTGGTAGCAGAGGGTGATAATAATTGTGATGATGATGATATTAATTATTATTATTATTATTATTATTATTATTATTATTATTATTATTATGTAATGATAATGACGCTGCCTTGTGTTTTTCCCTTTGTGCAGAGCTGTGTGAGTTTTTGCATTCCTTGCTTAGGTAGCAGAGGATGATGATAATAGTGATGATGGTGATGATGATAATAATAATAATAATAATATTAATAATAATAATAATAACAATTATTATTATTATTATTATTATTATTATTATTATTATTATTATGCAATGATAATGACGCTGCCTTGTGTTCCTCCCTTTGTGCAGAGCTGTCTGGTTCTTTGCATTCTTTGCTCTAGTAGCAGAGGGTGATAATAATAATGATAATAATAATGACATTAATAATAATAACAACAATAACAACTATTATTATTATTATTATTATTATTATTATTATTATTATGCAATGATGATGACGCTGCCTTGTGTTCTTCCCTTTGTGCAGAGCTGTCTGAGTCTTTGCATTCCTTGCTCTGGTAGCACAGGATGACAATAATAGTGATGATGAAGATAATAATAATAATAATTATTATTATTATTATTATTATTATTATTATGTAATGATATGTGTTTCTTCCTTTGTGCAGAGCTGTCTGGTTCTTTGCATTCTTTGCTCTGGTATCAGAGGGTGATAATAATAATAATGATGATGATGATGATGACATTAATAATAATAATAATAATAATAATAATAACAACAACAATAACAACTATTATTATTATTTTGTTATTATTATTATGCAATGATAATGACGCTGCCTTGTGTTATTATTGTGGTATTATTATTATTATAATTATTGTTATGTAATGATAATGACGCTGCCTTGTGTTATTATTATTGTGGTATTATTATTATTATTATTATTATAATGTAATGATAATGACTCTGCCTTGTGTTCCTCCCTTTGTGCAGAGCTGTGTGAGTTTTTGCATTCCTTGCACTGGTAGCACAGGATAACAATAATAATGATCATGATCATAATAATAACAATAATAACAATTATTCTTCTTATTATTATTATGTAATGATAATTACGCTGCCTTTAATTCCTCCCTTTGTGCAGAGCTGTGCGGGTCTTTGCATTCATTGTTCAGGTAGCACAGGATGATGATATTATTATTAATAATAATAATAATAATAATAACAACAATAATAATAATAATAATAATAACGATGCTTCCTTGTGTCTCTCCCTTGTGTGCAGAGTTGCGTGGGCCCTTGCACTCCCTGGTGCGCCTTCCTTGCCCGCGGGCCTCGGCCCTGGCCAACTACTCCTGGACGCTCCCTGCGGCCACTCCACCCTCGGCCGCGCTGGTGGTGTCCGAAGAGGAAGCGGGTGGAGTGTCTGGCGGTGGCGCTGGGGGTGGCCTGGTGGTTCTGGTGGGCCGGGAGGCGCTGGGCCCGTTCACCTGCTGGGCCTCGGAGAACGGCTTCCGGCACCCGGTGGCCCTCTTCCGCGTCCTGCCTTCCTCTTCCTCTTCCTCTTCCTCGGAGGACGCCGACCGTCCCGAGCTGTCCGGCGCGGCGGGGAAGGGTCACCGCTCGGAGCCGATGTCCAGGCGGCGCTCCTACTGGGTCCAGTTTGTGACGGTGACGGTGCTGCTGGCGGTGACGCTGACGGTGGCGGCCGCGCTGGGCTTCTTCTCCTTCTACGAGGCGGCCAAGGCCAGGAGCAAAGTCCGGGGCGTGGAGGGCGCGGCGGCCCCCGAGGGCGGCGGTCAAGCGGCGTCCGGGCAGGAGAAGGCCCCGCTCAACGGGAATGATGGGCACGGCCGCGCCACCACCACCAAGTCATGCTGCGTCCAAGTGGACATCGACGCCGAGAACAACCGCTTGACCGCGGACAACGAGGAGGACGGAGAAGCCAAGCACGTGGCGGCCGTGGACATCTAGGCTGACCCCCGGACGGACAAGGGCCAAAGGCCACGGGGACCCCACCCCCCCCAAACGCCAAGAGAACAAGCCACGGAATCAATCCTCCGCTCGACTCCTGTTGCTTTATTTTGCTCAGATGGGGCCCCGGAAGGTGGGGTTGGGTGGCCCCTGGGGGCCCCTCCCTCCCTTCCAAGGGGCTCTTACGGGGGGGACCGAGCCCCATTTCCGTCCATCTGCCCGGAGGGATCAAATGGGGTCGCTTAGCAGAACGGGGTGGGTTTGGATGACCTTCAAGGGTCCCAAGCCAATAAGTTTTCCGTCCCATTGATACTGAATTGCCGTCTTTTTCAGCAGATGGTCATCTGCCAGGAGGGATCGGATTGTGCCCAGCATAATGGGGTTGGTTTGGATGACCTTTTGGGTCCCCTTTCAAGCCTAGGGTGGGTTTTTGAGCCAATGTCCCACCCCATGGATCATGAGTCGCCTTCTTCGTCACTAGATGGCCATCTGCCGGAAGGGATCAAATTGTGTTGTATCTCGTATTGGGTTGGATGACCTTTAGGGGCCCCTTCCAAGCCTAGAGTTCCAAAAAGAAAGAGAAAAATGGGTTTGTATGATAAGAGACTGAGCCAATTTCCCATCCCTTTTGGCTGGATGATCATCTGCCGGGAGGGATCGGATTGTGTTGTATATCATATTGAGTTGGATTACCTTTAGGGGTCCCTTCCAAGCCAATTAGGGTTAAATAAGGAAAGAAAACAATTGGGTATTTATGGGTGAGATTGAGCTACATTTCATCCCTTTTGGCTGGATGGCCATCTGCTAGGAGAGATCGAATTGTGTTGTATCTCGTATTGGGTTGGATGACCTTTAGGGGTCCCTTCCAAGCCAATTAGGGTTAAATAAGGAAAGGAAACAATTGGGTATTTATGGGTGAGATTGAGCTACATTTCATCCCTTTTGGCTGGATGGCCATCTGCTAGGAGAGATCGAATTGTGTTGTATCTCATATTGGATTGGATGACCTTTGCGGCCCCCTCAATGGGTTGTCAATGGGAGGAAGAGCCCTTGGTGTGTCCGAGAGAAGGCCGTCCGGTGCGTCGATAGCCCTTGACCATCCGAGTGACCCTCAGGACTGACCAGCCTTACATAACACAATATATTCTAGAGTATTTTTTGCTATTTTCTTCCGTTTTGCTGCCAAAATCAATACGTTTTTCTATGCAAAGATCCCTTAAACAAGCACACTGGAACCCCAAAACAGGCCTTGGCTTCGCTGCCCCACATTCAACCCTCTTGCGTCCGCACCGTAGAGTTAACCCACTTTAACCACTCAATGCTCAGACTTCCTGGGAAAGTTAAGTTTGTTGTCCTTTGAGCAGAGAAGGCTTCCGTGGCGGGGGCCCTTCGCCATCAGCTTTAAAGTGGTTTCAAACTGGGTTAATTCCACCGTGTGGACGCTTAAACTGCTGAGCTGCTGGACATGAACCCAGTTTGAAACACTTTAAAGCCGGAGCAAAGGCAATGGGGCGCGATCCTCGGAAGGCTTTGAACAAACTCAGTGCCTGCATGGATTTTTAATTATTAATTATTAATGTTAATTAATGTTAATTAATGTTAAATGTGTGTTTGCGTTGGAGAGAAGGTTTTGGGATTTGCATGCGTGTTTTGCAAAAGACATTCCATTGAAAAAGCCCCCAAATAATAATAATAATAATAATAATTAAAAACAAATGTATTAAATTAATAAAAATAACAAGAAACGTATTACATTAAAAGCCTATTGTTTGGATAGGAAATAATAATAATAATAATAATAATATATTATTATTATTATTATTAATATTAATATTAATATTATATAATATAATATAATAATTATATTAATAATAATAATAAATTATATATATATTATAATATATTATATTATTATATATAATTATATAATATTAATAATTATATTATTAATATATTATATAATCTGAAGCATATTGTTTGGATAGGAAATAATAATATTATATTATTAATAATAATAATGTATTATTATATATAATATAATATATAATATTATATAATATAATTATTATATTATTAATAATATATTATATAATCTAAAGCCTATTGTTTGGGTAGGAAATAATAATAATAATATATTATTATTAATAATAATATTTAATATAATATATTATGTAATTATATATAATTATATAATATAATATAATAATTATATTATTAATAATATATAATCTAAAGCCTATTGTTTGGACCAGAAATAATAATAATATAATTATTATTAATAGTAATATATTATTATATATATTATTATATATAATATAATATATAATTATATAACATAATTATTATATTATTAATAATATATTATATAATCAAAAGCCTACTAGGTTCTTGTGGGTTTTTTCGGGCTATAGAGCCATGTTCTAGAGGCATTTCTCCTATTATTATATATTATAATATATATAATTATATAATATAATAATTATATTATTAATAATATATTATATAATCTAAAGACTACTGTTTGGATAGGAAATAATAATAATATATTAATTATAATATAATATAATAATTATATTATTAATAATATATTATATAATCTCAAACCTGTTTGGATAGGAAATAATATATAATATATAATATATATATATAACACACACACACACACACACACACACACACACACACACACACACACACAAAAAAATATATATATATATATATATATATATATATATATATATATATATATATATATATATATATATATATATATATCCCCTTTCCACACTGGACAGTTATACCACTTTGATTCCGGTTTAACTTCCAATTGGGATTGGTTGTCTTTGGATGGTTCAAAATGATGATGGTTCAAAATGGTGATTGTTGGCTGTTTGGTTGTTGATCACACGGTTGTTTTGTTCTGTTTTGAGATGCAGAAGGTGTAAATCCATTGTGTTGTTTATACAGACTATTTTTATTAAAATGTGTCATGTCTCTTTAAATAATTGCGCCCTTTCCATCTTTGCTCCTGGCACTGCGCCTGCGCAGTCGGGCTCCAAGAAGTCCTGGCAGTGTTATGCCTGGCGTAGGCTTTCCCTCCATCTTGGTCCCTGGCGGTTGCGCATGCGCAGTTGGGCAGTAGGGAGGCGGGGAAGCCAGGCGCAGAATGGTATGCCGTGCTTGGGCTTTCCCTCCATCTTTGTTCCTGGCATTGCGCATGCGTAGTTCGTTACAAAGAAGCCGGGACGTGTTCCTTCCATCTTTGTCCCTGGCATATCGCGCCAGGAAGCCCTGGCTGGGTTACAGGCTTGCCCTCCATCTTTGTCTCTGGCTCCACGCAGGCGCAGTTAGGCACCAGTAAGTGCTCCCTCCATCTTTGTCTCTGGCATTAGGAGATGCTGGTGTCATCCTATATAAATATATACAGACTGTATTGATTTAGTATTTCTTTATTTGGAAAATGTCTGCATAACAAAAGGTACAATTAGCATACATTAAAACAGTAATAAATATACACTAAAACAGTTTAAAGTTTTAATTGGATTTAATTATATATCAGAACTTTTATAGAACTTTTACACGTTACATTTTGACCAATACGCCGATGATAACGTAGTCTGTGCGCATTCAGAAGAAGACCTACAATGTCTGTTATGGAACTCCAATATGCCGATGATAACGTAGTCTGTGCGCATTCAGAAGAAGACCTACAATGTCTGTTATGGAACTCCAATATGCCGATGATAACGTAGTCTGTGCGCATTCAGAAGAAGACCTACAATGTCTGTTATGCCACTCCAATAGTCTGTGCGCATTCAGAAGAAGACCTACAATGTCTGTTATGGAACTCCAATATGCCGATGATAACGTAGTCTGTGCGCATTCAGAAGAAGACCTACAATGTCTGTTATGGAACTCCAATATGCCGATGATAACGTAGTCTGTGCGCACTCAGAAGAAGACCTACAATGTCTGTTATGGAACTCCAATACGCCGATGATAACGTAGACTGTGCGCATTCAGAAGAAGACCTACATAGTCTGTTATGGAACTCCAATATGCCGATGATAACGTAGTCTGTGCGCATTCAGAAGAAGACCTACAATGTCTGTTATGGAACTCCAATATGCCGATGATAACGTAGTCTGTGCGCATTCAGAAGAAGACCTACAATGTCTGTTATGGAACTCCAATATGCCGATGATAACGTAGTCTGTGCGCATTCAGAAGAAGACCTACAATGTCTGTTATGGAACTCCAATATGCCGATGATAACGTAGTCTGTGCGCATTCAGAAGAAGACCTACAATGTCTGTTATGGAACTCCAATATGCCGATGATAACGTAGTCTGTGCGCATTCAGAAGAAGACCTACAATGTCTGTTATGGAACTCCAGTATGCCGATGATAACGTAGTCTGTGCGCATTCAGAAGAAGACCTACAATGTCTGTTATGCCACTCCAATATGCCGATGATAACGTAGTCTGTGCGCACTCAGAAGAAGACCTACAATGTCTGTTATGGAACTCCAATATGCCGATGATAACGTAGTCTGTGCGCATTCAGAAGAAGACTTACAATGTCTGTTATGGAACTCCAATATGCCGATGATAACGTAATCTGTGCGCATTCAGAAGAAGACTTACAATGTCTGTTATGGAACTCCAATATGCCGATGATAACGTAGTCTGTGCGCACTCAGAAGAAGACCTACAATGTCTGTTATGGAACTCCAATATGCCGATGATAACGTAGTCTGTGCGCATTCAGAAGAAGACCTACAATGTCTGTTATGCAACTCCGATATGCCGATGATAACGTAGTCTGTGCGCATTCAGAAGAAGACCTACAATGTCTGTTATGCAACTCCGATATGCCGATGATAACGTAGTCTGTGCGCATTCAGAAGAAGACCTACAATGTCTGTTATGGAACTCCAATATGCCGATGATAACGTAGTCTGTGCGCACTCAGAAGAAGACCTACAATGTCTGTTATGGAACTCCAATATGCCGATGATAACGTAGTCTGTGCGCATTCAGAAG